CAAATATTTATTTGTTTGTTTGTTATGAATTTCGCGCAAAGTTACACGAGGGCTATCTGCACTAGTCGTCCATAATTTAGCAGTGTTACTAAGACTAGAGGGAAGGTCATCACCATCCACCGCCAACTGTTGAGCTACTCTTTTTACCAACGAATAATGTGATTGATCGAACATTACAACTCCCCCACGGCTGAAAGGGCGAGCATGTTTGGTGGGACGGGGATTCGAACCTGTGACCAGCAGATTGCGAGTCGAGCGCCCTAACCAGGCCCAGATCAAATGTAAAATACTTAAAATTGCCCCTTTCATTATTACGAAACTTTATGTTTCCTACTCTCCATAGTTTAAAACATTTTTTTCTGGATTCATTTCGACCTTGGTAAACATCCTTGCGTTTAAGTAGGTCAAGGTCAAATTTTCACCCGGCTTATTCTGATATTCTTAACTGATCACTTTCTTCCTTGACGTTAAGCTCTACAGCAATCTGGAACTCGAAAGCAATTTCGTGTTCCAAAAGCTCGGCCCTTAACTGTTAAACCTCCTGAATTGCATTTCCACGCCCTCCTATGTACAAGCTTAGACGCGTCTTATTCCTATTTATTTAGAGACCTCCTTACTATGTTTAGCTAAAGAGGATCAGGATCATTTGGTGTTTCCTGGAAAATCCCATGTTAAATTGAATGTAGGTGCCACCTGCAACGCCCCTTAAACTATGACAAAAATAAGACTTCCTTGAAACAAACACGTGAACTTTAAATGTCTAAGACGAAGGGGCCTTTCTATTCCAAAGCAGTTGATCCTTTACACGTGAACTTTAAATGTCTAAGACGAAGGGGCCTTTCTATTCCAAAGCAGTTCACCCTTTACACGTGAACTTTAAATGTCTAAGACAAAGGGGCCTTTCTATTCCAAGGCAGTTCACCCTTTACACGTGAACTTTAAATGTCTAAGACAAAGGGGCCTTTCTATTCCAAGGCAGTTCACCCTTTACACGTGAACTTTAAATGT